TTATTTAAAATATCTATATACTGAAGAGATTATTTGTAATGAATTATATCAAATTATTGAACAATGGTATTTAACAAAAACAATTTTTACAATTACTACTGATAATAGATCAAATATGATTAAAGGTATATAACTTTTTAACCAGGCTTTATCTTCTATAAAAAGTCAACCTTACACAGTACATATATTACAATTATCTGTAAAAGAAGATTTAAAGCATTGTAAAAATGTTTATTAGTAAATCAAAATTTGCAAATTTTTTTGATTATTAAAACAGACATAAAGACTACAACATGTATAACTTAAAATTAATAAACTTGAAATACTTTTAACTAAAGATTCTGAAATATTAATAAGCTCTTTAGATATTTTAACTGATACTAAAACATGATAGAATTTAATATTTATTAAATAGAAATGAATTCTTAAATTATATAATGCTATGCGTTATGTTTCAACTACATTATTATCAAAAAATAATCATATATTAAATAAAGAAGAAAACAATTAGAAAATTATGTTTAATACATGAAGAAAAAATATAAGCTATTAATAAAATTTTAAAAATAATTTTTATTATTTTAAAAATAAAGTATTTATTATTTATAAATAGATTTGTTCAAGAAATAGTGAAATTATTAAAATCATTTGAAACTATAATTCATTGATTATCAGATGCTATATATCTGATATTTAATATGATATACCTATATATGTATATGCTTAAACAAATGTTTGCTTTAGAAATTCAAGAAAAATAAAACTTTAGAAAGTTATTTTAATCTTATTTATGGATATTTTATACTTGAAAATACTAATAAAGAAGAATTAAAATTTGAATGATGAATTTAGTTTTATTAGTGATAATGATAATAATATTTCAACTGCTGGAAATCAATAACATTAAAAATATACTTATCAACAATTTAAAGAATATATGAAAAATTGAGAATAAGGATGAAAATATAATTATAGTTTTATCATATATGTGATTGCGTTTGTAATCATATTTGTATTTTATAAAATTCATCTAAAATAAATAATAAAATTGAAAATATATATCAAATTGAATATTTTTTTCAGTAGATACTAGAGATTTTTTTAAAAACATTTGTATTGCTATTTATCTTTCTTTGAATAATTTGTGAAATGTATCAAATGAATTATTCTTAATTATAATAATATTAGATCCTAGAATAAAAATTTTCTATTTGCAGAAGATTTTAATCATGAAGAATAAAAAAAGTTAACTAAAGATCTTTTAAATGATTTATATATTTAATTTAAATAAGATTTAAGCATTTCAAGAAGAGATTTAAGAAATATTATTTACCTTGAATAAAGAAGATGATGATTTATTTGCAAAAATATAAAGTAGTAATTAATGATTAATACCAGTAGAAAATAATAAGATTTTATATTACTTGAATTATCCTAATAAACTAAAACTACAGATCTTTTAGTATGATAGTAGAATTATATAGCAAGTTATCCTATTTTATCTAAATTAGCTTAAAAATATCTTTTAATTCCTATTACATTTGTACCTAATGAATATTTCTTTTCTGATGCAAGTAATCATATTTCTTTAAAAGAATATAATTGTCTTCAGAATTAGTAAATTGTATGTTATTTTTAAAATGTAATAGTGTTTATTTTAATATATTTCCTTTTTTAGAATTTAATTAGTTTAATATAATAATGAATTTCTTAACATTTATGTATATGAACAATTTATATAGTTTAATAAAATGGTTTAAATATAAATTCTTTTAATAATTATATATTTTAAAATACTTAAATATAGAACTTCGTTATAATCCTTAATGATGAAGTATTTTTTAGAATTAAATTTCTTGTAGATTCCTATAATTACGAATTTAATTTTTAGTACTTATTTAAAAACGTATAAATATAATGCAATATATTACATTAAAAATATTATCAGTTAATTATAATAAAAATAAATAGATTAAATTTATATTCAAATGAAATAAAAGAACTGGATTTATTATATATAAATAAAATGAAGAAATTAGATTTATTATATTTAGATAAAATGAAAGAATCAGATTTATTATATATGGATAAAATAAGGAATTAGATTTATTATATCTAGATAAAATATAAATTCAAATCACAAGAAACTGGATTTAAATTCAAATGCAAAATATCAGTTCTAAACTCTATTTTCTCCTTTTTTACTACAAAGTGCCTATATAAATTCCTTATTATAAATACATATTTTGTAAAAACTAATACCTATTAAAGTTATATAAAAAACTCTTTATAATCACAGTGTTTTATAGTCATATCCTTTCAGAACTAACATTTAGTAACAGTATATAAAAATCCTCTTATATAATAACTTTTTATTATAATCACATTTTTATTTTTAGTACTAAGGAATATGACTATAAAGGAGGATGACTGTAATAAAATAAAATAAATAAATAAAAAATTTTCCTTTAATAATCATTCTTTATATATTAATTGTTAATAAATGTAAAATAAATATATATTAATATATAACAAATAAAATATATGAAATAAAATATAATTTTGATTAAACGTTTATTAACAAAATATTTTTTTAATTAATTAGTTTTAAAATACTGATTTTTATATCATAGTTGATTAAAGATAGAAACTGTTATTTTAAGTATTATATTATAGTTACAGTCAACTCTTGATATAGCGAACTCTTAATATAATGAATTTTTTGAACAAATATAATAAAAATATTCTTGTTATAGCGAATTGGCTAATCAAATCTCTTAAAATCTTCATTATAGCCTTATAGCGAAGTTGAGGTCTAAGACATAGAGTTCATTATAACAAAAGTTGACTGTAATCAATAATCTTAACATTTAGATATTTCAACAGTTTCTGTTATCTAGTTTATAAGTTAATTAATATATTTGAAAGTTAAAGATGTAATTAAAGTCTATAATGATTATATTAAGTAGTAAAGATTAATAAAATAAGTTAATTAGGTATATTATTTAAATAAAATATTTGATATACAATATTAATATTTAAATTGGTAAAAAAAATACATCAAAAAAATTAATAATTAATTAAATTAATAATAAATATGCTTTAAATTTTTATATTAAATTACTTTAGTTTTGATAATATTAATAATAAATATTAATAATTTAAATTTTTTAAGTTATAGTATTATTTCTATATAATACATTTTCTATTAGATCAAGTATTTAAATAATTAAAATAAAGAATTAAAAATCAGTAATATATTATATTTTAAATTCATTTTGTATGTATAATATGGTTAGGCAAAATTGGAATATGAACATGTGAAATCCATCCTTAAAGATGTTTCTGTCGGGTGGAAAGTTACAAATATTACCTCCGGAGCGATCTTAACTAAAAAAAAATTCAATCATAGACATATATAGTCCTTTCGTTCCAATAAGGAAATTAATATCAATTATCAATTGAAGTGTGAAGTACAAGCCCACTTGTTGAGTAAATGGAGTTAATGGACAAATTTTTTTTTCTCTGTTTTTTTTTAAAAAAGGAAAATGTCTTCTATTCAAGAATCCACTTCTAAAGTTATTGCTCGTACAAAAACAGATTGGAATATTCCCGCCTCGATTGTATCCCGGCGTACAATAAATCCTATTCGAGATGTAGTTTTTAAAATGAAAGTTACTCCTAATCCTGAAAAAGAGGAAATTTCATTGGCATTGGGTAATTAATTAAATAAATTTTATTAGATTTTTTAGTTGTCAAATTTGAAATTTTTTTGAATTCTTTTTTAAAAGGTGATCCCACGCTTTATGGCAATCTTAATGTGGCCGAGAATTGTATTGATGCAGTGATAACACAATTGAAATCACATAAAGCAAATGGATATTTACCAGCAGTTGGTAAGCTTTCCTTTAATGTTTATTATACATCATATCCTTTTGATTATAACACTTATTTGTAGGAGCTGAGAGTGCGAGAATTGCTCTTGCAAAAAAGTTTTCAACAAAGGAAGCACCTTTAACCCCAAGGGTAGTTTTAATTTTTTCGTGAACCATTCAAATTACCATTTAATTCTATATTGATTAAAAATTTAAATTATTAGGATATCGTTGTAGCAAGCGGAGCTTCGGATGCGTTAGGTCTTGCAATTGGTGCGTTATGCAATGAAGGACAAAATATCCTTCTTCCAAGACCCGGGTTTTCACTGTATCAAACTATTTCAGAATCAAAAGGAATTGAATGTCGTTATTATAATTTATTGGTTAGTTGAATAATTTCTTTCTTTTCGAGATTCAATTTAATGCTTATTTCTAATGTTACTAGTATGAATTTCTTAGCCTGATCGTAATTGGGAAATTGATTTAGATCATTTAGCGTCTTTAATTGATGATAATACAGCTTGTTTACTTATAAACAACCCGTCCAATCCATGTGGATCAAATTTTACTCGTCAACATTTAGAATGTATATTAACGTTATGTGAAATTTATAAACTTCCAGTAATAAGTGACGAAATTTATGAAGATATGGTATTTGGAGATAATATTTTTTATCCCTTAGCAAATTTATCCGAGACAGTTCCGATCTTAAAAATTAGTGGATTAGCAAAAAGATATTTGGTTCCAGGGTGGAGAGTTGGATGGATTTTTATACATGATCGTAATAATTTATTAAATGAAATACGTGATGGTTTAGCTTCTTTATCAAATTTGATTCTTGGAGCTAATTCTTTAATTCAAAGCGCTATACCTGATATTATAATGAACACTCCCCAATCATTTTATGATGCGACCAATAGATTTTTAGAAGAAAATGCAAAATTAAGTGCCAGTTTCTTGAAGAAAATATCTGGTTTACACGTTATTTCACCCCAAGGTGCTATGTACATGATGATTGGAATTAATGTGGGAGAGTTTAAAGATATAAAAAATGATGTGGAATTCAGTGAAAAATTGGTACAAGAAGAGTCCGTTTTATGTTTACCAGGAAAGGTAATTTTGAAAAAAAAATGAGAATGAGACGCATTAGACATGACTAATCTTAGTTTTTTTTTTTTATTTTAATTAGAGTTTTCACTATCCTAATTATGGTAAGCTCTATTTATTATTCTTCATACCCTGTTCAATTGTTAATTTGCTTCGTGTTCTGTTTCGGCAAATTTTACCGATTATCTCTATCGAAACACAAAGGGGAGCAAATTCACTTGAAAGCATGTTCAAATTCCCAGTGATATTCAAATGTACAAGTATTGCAGATCAATGATTTGCAATGCAATGCATATGCATCGTATCGTGAAAATCAGCGAGATTTATTTAACGTTACACACTTTTATTTAATTGAATAGTTCGAATTGTAATTACAGCTCCTGTTGAGAAATTAAAAGAAGCTTATCAACGAATTAATGAATTTTGTGTCAGGCATCATGTTTAATTTGCCTGTTTTGGTAAGTACAATGTAACCCCTAACAAAACGGAAAATTAAAATTTTAATTTATTATTGGTTTTATTTTAAATACAGTTATGATTGATTCTTTTTTTTTTTTGCATTAATTGTCTAAAAAAAAAAAAAAAAAAAAAAAAAAAAAAATTCATGAATTTCAAAATTATAATAAAACAAAATTAAAATCATTTTTAAAATCATTCGTTAGAATTCTTTTTTAAAAATTTTCATAATGATTAAGGAAATTTATAATAATAATCTTATGCTTGCTTGTGGTAAAAAAAAGGGGATATTGGCTATAAAGTTAAATCGTCTATTACATATTTGATGTATATATATCATTGCAAGAAAATAAAGAAAATAAAGAAAAAAGGATAAGAAATATAAATAAAATAAAGAAAAGAAAAGAAATTGCATAATATAACTTGTTAATCATTGAAAATTTCTTTTTAAGAACATATTTTTTTATATGAATGTTTATAAATCACGGACAGATTAACAAACAAAAATAAAAACAATTACGAAAGTCCTTCCAATAAAACTTTTTAATTTGACAATACTTTAACCATTATTGATTAATCAACAGGTTCTTGATCCAAATCCATATGATCACACGAATCACCTTGACGATTCTGCCCATTATTCTGCTGGTTTTCTGGATATGCTCCAGGCAAAGAAGAATTGGAACTGAATCGATATGTTGAGGCTGGTGGCCTGAATCTACTGTTACTGTTACCTGATGAACCAGTACCATCATTACCATTTTGTTCATTATTGTCCTGACTGACTAATGAATACCGACTATAAAGAAAATCAAAAAGAACACCTTATAATCAAAACCAATCAATACTTGAACACAATAATTTTACATACCATACAGGACAGGTTCCATTCATTTTTAACCATGGTTTTATACAATCGTAATGAAAAGCATGAGTGCAAGGCAGATATACCGCTTCTTCGTCTATTTTAAATTCATCTTTACAAACCGGGCATCCCAATTGTTCTTCAACTATGAAAAGTACATTCATTCGCCAGTATAAGAAAGATGATGCCATGATGGAAATTTTGAACAGTTGAGAATCATGATTTCCATTATTGATCAAAAGGAACCCATACAAACACTAACCGATTTGCTTTTTTGAAATCTTCGTCTTTGGTAAATTCTCAATCATTTCATCTGTAGCTGGTGGTGGGGCTTGTCTTCTATTTTTACGTTAAGTTTTCCCGAAAATTTTAGTTTAAATTCACAAAAAAAATTCGTCAAGTGTATTAATTAAAATTAATGAAACCAATCGTACCCAGCTTGTTGTTCCATCAATTGTGAGATGATATTATCCCATCCTGTATTACTCCATGCATAATCTGCTGGATCACCTGCGATATTAAATATATTCATGAAATTTGCTGCGTTGTTTGCTCCAAAATTTTCTAACATCCTAACTAATCTGAAATCATAAAAAACAATAAATAAAATTGCAATAGACAACTATTTCAACAAAATTTGATATAAAGGCTAAATAATTTTTCGAACATTTAAAAAACAGAACTCACTGTGTAATGTCAAAGGGTGGAGATGCACGGTCATCACTAGTGTTCTGACCTTCATCTTGTTGGGCAGTATTTCCTGTTGTTGTCGTTCTTGTTGATCCTGTAGCTGTTATAGTTGTTGTGGTTGTACCATCCCGACTTTCTGTCTGTACTCGCACAGGAGCATTGGGTCTGAGCATACTCTGAATGATTTGTAAAAGCTCGTTTATTCCATTTTGAGGATTTCCCGAAGGATACGGAGTATCATCGTATTCATCATCGGTTTCCTGCCCCGCACCTTGCTCAATTAATTCCCTTAGATCATTATTTTCTACAATCTAAATTTGAATAAAAGAATCAGAAGAGGCAACCCGCCTCAGATATAGTTTCTTTAGTGCCTTCTGTCGTGTCTGAACCAATAAATATATTGTAGAAATACTAACCTCTTCTACGAATTCACCATTGCAACGAGGACAGGTTGGATTGGGAGCCATTAAAGGCTCAATGTCAACTTGGCATTGATGACAGAAATACGGTCTTCTATTATTAGCAGTTCTATTTGCACTATAAATGTTGGACTCTGACGCTCGATCGGACATTGATACTAATTCGTTATATGAAATGAAGACGATTATTACGATATCCTTTTCTAAAATGCGAAAGTTGGATAAATAATCAATAAAAGTTTTTATAAGTTAAAAAAAAGTTCCGAGTATTGTTAATTCGAGAAAAATTACAGATCTGTGGTTCCTTTATACTGGATATAAAAGCCACTAATTTTGCCCCTTTCGAGAATTATGTAGCAATCATCTTTTAGTAATAATTTTTTTATGTTGTTTTTAATATAATAAATAAAGAGGTTGTATATAATTTGCGTTAAACTTATTGACATAATTTTTTTTAAATATATAATATATTTTTCATTATTTTAATAAATTAAATTATTTTTTTCTTTATATCATAAAATATTTAAATATTTTTTAGAAATATAAACTTAAATTTTAATTTTAAAAATAACATTTACTTATATTAGTATATAATTAACTATTGATTAAGATAATACTTATATATTATAATTGAAAATGAATAAATTTTAATAAAAAGAATAAAAGAATAATTAAAAATGCTTAAATGATTTTATTTTATACTCTATTAACTAATTAATATAATTTATAATAAAATTGATCTTTAAAATTAAATTATAACTAATTAAAATTTTATTTTAATTTATTAATTTATATGTTTAGAATATTTATAATTAAAATATTTTAAATATTAATAGATTTATAGTATAATTATATAATTGTAAAATAATATATAATATCATAAAATTATAGTTATAGAATAATATAATATGTTATTATTAATTAAATTTAATTTACAATATTTATCTAAATAGTTTATTATATTAAATATTTTTTTTTATTATTATAAGTATATATTATTTTTTTTATTATTATAATTTTTATTATAATTATACTTTAATTATTTATTATTATTATATTATGATATTATTTCTTTTTATTTCATATTTATCTTTTTCATTTTTATATTATTTTTATTATTAAATTTATAATTAAATAATTTATAAAAAATCACATATTTTCAAGTTTATTATCAGTAATTTTTTTGCTTATAAAAAATTTAAAAATTATATAATATTTTTAATAATATAAATAAATTACATTTTAGCTAATTAAAAATTTTAATAAATATTATTTTACTTAAGATTATATAAATATTAGTTGATTCATAGAAAAATAAGATTTTAGAAATTTTTTAATAAAATTTCAATTTTGATATAATTTAATTTTTAATATTTTTAAATTAAATATATTAAGCTTTTAATTTTAGTCAATTAAAAATTTATTATTTTTACTATAATTATTATTCTTTATTATTTATATTATTTTTAATATGTTTATTATATTTTTATTATATTTATTTTACAAAATTTTTTATTATTTTATAAATATAAAAAAATATAAAAAAAAAAGAAAAATTAAGATAATATAAGGGAAGTAGGAGATATAGAAAATATAAAAAAAGTAAGAAATATAGAAGATATAAGGGGAGTAAGAGATATAGAAGATGTAGTAGAAAGTAAGAGATAAGAAAAATAGGAAAATATAGGTTACTTGAAAATGTATTTTTTTTATAATAAATAAATAAATTATTTTAAAATAAAAAAATTATGATTCAGTTTTAACGTTTATAAATAATTGTTTAAATGCAACAAATAAAAGTCAATAGACTAAATTTAAAAAGTTACATACTTTAGAAGATGAAATATTTTCCTTTTTTTTTAAAAAATATATTATTTAATTATAATTAATTCAGATAAAATATACTATATAATATATAATAAAAATATATTTAAAATTAATTAGTCTTTAAAATATTTTTTTTTTTGATATGACTTATATATAGATAAAGCTTATGTTAGTTAAAAGAATATGCTTATGTATATTACTTTATTAGTCAAAAAACTGTCAAAAATATGTATTAATTACATTATACATATAATTTTATACATTTTAATAAAAAAAACTTATTTAAATCAGGAGTTTTGTATCACTAAACATATAAATTAAATTGATTATAAATTATAATAAATATTTGATTAACTGTAATATAATATTTATTTAGTAGATCACGTATAGAACAGATATCATATGTTCTAATCAAAGTATCTTATGCTTACACTTTAGATCCTTTATATCTTTTTTAAATCATTAATTCACTTTAAATATTAAGATTAATAATCTTCTCAATTTTTGCTAGATCAGATTGTATTTCTTATCCAGATATAATATGCTTTAGAAATTGAATTTCATTTGTATAAAATGGTATTTCTCTAGATTTATTTTCAATTGAGCTTTCTTTAATAAATTAAACACTTATTGAAGATGTTGCAAATATTTATCATAATTTTTAGAAAATATGATGATGTCATCAAAGTATACCAACACAAATTTTTTTTATTTTTGTAATATGTTATCTATAGCTTTTTAAAATGTGACTGGTATATTACATAATTCAAATAGTATCACATTGAACTCATATAATCTATGTTTTGTAATAAATACTGTTTTGAATTTGTTTTATTCTTTAATATTAAATTACCAGTATCCTGAAGTTAAGTATATCTGGTTGCTTTTCTAAGGATTCTAATAGCTCATCAATCTTTGATAAGAAATATCAATTCTTTATTATTATATTATTTAATTTTCTATACTTTACATAAACTTTATTTTTTATTCATTTTTCTTATAATAACTACAGATAAATTTCATTGATTTTGAGAAGATCATATTATTCCTTAATTTAATATATTTTAAATTTCCTGTTGTATATATTAATTATCTTTAATCAATATCTGATATATCTTTAATGTAACTGATGATATATCTTTAATGAATATATAATACTCATATTGCCTTAAGTGTATTAATTCCTATATTATAATTATAAAATCACTAATATTTGTCTTAAGAAATACTTTTAATTATTTTAGAAAAGCATCTGTAAATTTGCTACAAGTTGTATATTTTTTGAATCTTCATCAATTTCTATTTAAATATTATTTCTTCAATCTGAACCTTATAATGTTAGGGTCTAAATGAATTTATTATCCATCAGTCTAATTTGAAATTAATTTTAAAAATTTAAATGTCTATAATGAATTCATAAATTCATTTATTACTTATCTAAATATTCGTTAGATTTATTTAGATGTATTACAGATTACAGATTTCACAGATAAAAATTATATTATATTATTTTGAATTAAAAATATTTGCTATCTTCATTCTAATTTTATCTTTGAGAATATTTTTCACGTTATTATACTTTTATTTTATTATAAATATTCTTTTTTTTTCTATTATTATATATTGAAGAATAAAAAATTTAATAAAAATTTATTATATTATTTTGTAATCTTTTAATACTATCAAAATAAATATATTTCAAATATAATTAAATTTAAACTATATAATTTATTATTTAAAATAATAAATTTTAAAAAAAATGAAAAACTATACAATTATACATAAGTAGATGAATGAATTGTAGATAATATATTATAATTGTGCTTTAAGAATATAATTTTATTAAACAATTCAGAACTCATCCTAGTCTTTTTAGGTCTTATTATATTTTCAGCATCTAAAAACATTCTTTCTGAAGCTGTAGATACTATAAGCATAGGTAAAGTTTTATATATCAGCTTACTCAAAAATAAAAATGATTTTCTTATACGTCCACTAAGTAAAAGAATTCTCCTTCCAATAAATTTCATCTAACTTTAAATATTCTGATACTTCATCATCTACTTGTGACTAAAGTTTTTAAAATTTAGCAAAAATTAAATTTTTATATTTGGATTTTTTAGCATTAATACAGAATTGGAATAGTTAAATGAGAAAGACAAATTATTAAATATTTCTTTATCTTCAATTCTTCAACTTTATCACATAATAATTTTTGCATCTTAAATTAAATTTGAATAGATAGATTTCTAGATTTTTTGTTTTTGAATCTAATAGAGTGATCAAAGTATATTAGGATCTTGAAAACATCAATAAAAACATAAATTTTCATAGAGTTTTTTTTAACTGTATTTAATAAGTTAGATGTATTTACAGATCGATTTAAGTTAGTTTAATATTAACCATCAAATTCTTTTTCTAATTCAGTTTCATTAAATATATCTTTATTTATTTCTTCAATATTAATTGGTAATAGTAATAAAGTAGGTAGTAATAGAAGTAACGAAGAAGATGATAATGAAGCTAATAATGTAAATGATAATATCAAATCTGATTGTATTAGCTTTTATTTTGATTTCTTCTATTAATAGATTAATAAAATTGTATAAATAGTAAGAACTGCCTCTTAAATAGTCAATTATTTTAGCAAATAGTTTTAATATATTAAATATATTGACTAATTCTGCTATTAAATCTTATTTCTCAGTAGTAATCATAATTTTCTTTAGTTGTTTAAAATCTTTTTTTAAATCACTATCAATAAGATTGTTAAACGAAACTTAGAGGTTTTGCAAGTTATCTAAATAGAAAAAGGTAAAATTTAGCGAAATTATATTAAAATCTTATTAAAAAATCTGAGAAATTCTAGAAAAGATAAAACTATATCAAAACTTATAAAATGCGAAACTATATCAAAACCTTAATAAAAATTTAGCAAAACTATAATTTAAATATTTTGCTAAATTTAAAATGAATTAGATAAGCAACCTTAACTGTTAACTTCATATATTAATTTTATATTGAAGATGCTTATTGTATCTCGAAGAAATAATAACTTTGCTATACATAAAAAACACTATTCATCTAGTTTTATAATCTTGAATTATATGTAAATATTTATCAGTTTTTCTAATTTTTTATTGTAAAAATATAATATTTTAAAATTAGCATTAAAGTAAATATATAATATAAAAATCACATAATCTAAGAAAATTAATGTAAAAATTTATATTATATTATCCCTTTCATTTTCTAATAAGCTTTTTTAAACATTTTCTAATCTTTTAGTTTACTTAAGTTTTGAAAAAATTAATTAATCATTTTAC